GAAAGAAAAAAATAAAAACAAAAACACAAACCAAAAGTAAAATCAACATAATCTCAAACATTGACGGCTTCGCGCCTGTGTCAAACGCATTCAAATGAGCAAATTTTAGAATTGTAAAGCCCGGTAAGCAGCAGCCGCAGCCGCCGCAGCAGCCGCAGCAGCCGCAGCAGCAGAGGCAGCGGCAGCGGCAATCGCCAGACGAGTTTTCACTTTTGTTCATGCAAAAGAGACCTATTCGCTATCGCTTTTCATACATATATATATAACTATTTTTCTTCTTCTTTTACAGTTTTACAGTTAATTTATGCCGGCAACGAATTTTCACTCTCGCTATTTTTCCGCATTTTAGACTCTGTCTGGGAAAGTGGGCAGGCACAACGATGGCGCATCCGCCAAAAATAAAAAATAAAGAGAAGAAATAAGAAACGACACAGAAATGAAAACTGCGCTTTTAAAAATAGCTAAAGCCAGTCAAGAGTCTTCCCAGAGTCTGAGCCCAAAAATTGCGGACCTCGTCAGTCGCGACTCGCGACGGTGACGGTGACGGCAATGGCGATGGCGATTGCAGCTTGTGGGTTAGATTAGAAAGTGGTTGGCATCGCTTCATTGCCAATGCTCCATTGCTACATCGATGGCTGCAGATTCTTTTGAAAAAAAAAAAAAAACTAATGCTATGCCGGCGAGTAGTGCAATACACACACACACACACACACACACACACACACACACACACACACACACACACACACACACACACACACACACACACACACACACACACATTAATTGGCATTTTTGCATGCGTCGGTAGCCAGCTGGAACCGGCTGCAGGTACTAGCTATGGCTGCTCTGCGCTGGCCACCAATGAAAGAGAAAATTGGCCCCAAATCAAGTTCACTATCATTGGCCGACGGCGTCGCAGCACTTTTTGTGCAAACTAATATTTTAAAATTGTTGATTATGATGACTTTTCATTTCGTTCGCCGAAGAGATCTGGATTGTGCAGCACCATCAGCATCACCATCACCATCACCATCAGCAGCAGCAGCAGCAGCAGCACCATCGGCAGAGCCAGCAACAGCATCAGCGTTAGCATCAGTCAAATTGCACTTGCAAGTGTTTTTGTTTTCTTTGTTTGTTATCTCTTGCTTTGTTTCATTTAATTTGACGCTTGAATGCCGACGCCGACGCCGCAGGCCGTGGGTCCATTAGCCATGGTTGGATTGCAGCTGCCTGGACTGCACATTAAGCATACGCAGCATTGGCCCAGCCCCCAACTTGGACTCCCATGCGTGTATTACTTAACATATGTCTCTCTATCCCTCTCTTTCTCTCTCTCACTCTCTCTTTCCCACTGTTGTTCTCTTTCTCTCTATGTGGAAATGGAAATGTCTAGGTAATATTTCACGGCACATTACATTTTTGGCCAGGCTTTTTGCAACAGACGTTGAAACCTATTTATCATATTGCACATCGACGGTCCGCCCAGAGAGCTTCCATTCAGGAAGCAACTGCTCTTGGCCACCTGGCTTGACCTGGCTCGCCTCAATGTCAGCAGACGTCGCTCAGCCGCCAATAACTTTGGAATGCGCATGTGTTTATTTTAGCTTTTCGCTTTTCGCTTATTGCTCCTTGGCTTTGTGGGCATTCAGCCAAGTTGTTCTAGGGTAAGCTTTGAGTGCCAGCTTACTGAAGCGTTCGAGTTATGCATGGCAAATTTGTCTACGCATATCTGGGCTTAAGGTTAGCTGATTATGTGGCCCAATTGTGCACTGAGGCAAGCAAATTGCCCGATAAGAATCCAAAGCCAAACCATAAACGCGTGGGTGTCAGCGCAGTGAGAGATATGTTAAAACTGTGTATTTTACTAGAAAACTGCTGGAGTGAAGTTCGACTAAATGTTGTGAATACTAATTAGCGAATAACAGTAGTCTGTTCCACAAGCTTAGTCCACTGTTAGTGTCACGCTGTTAACTTCACATTAACATGTTGCGAACTATGTAGCAGCAGAGAGCTCACACCTAGTTATATGAAGTAGAGTTTTCTAGATTGCGTTCTACATTAATGCTAATTACCATAGATAAAATTTTATTAACCTGGTAATTTAACATGAGCTAGAACATATAAAGGATATATTTATTGCAGATAGTTTCGAAATTAAATTAATAGTTGAGTCAGCTCTATTTATCAACAGCCAACAATATTTTATAAAAGTTGACAAACAAAAAAAATGTATTTGACGAGCTGATACCGAATTTATGTATAGTTCTTATCAGAATATTTTATTTATTTATTATTTCAATTTTAATTTTGTATATGTATAATATGTTTGTTGATTTTTTGTTTATTTTTTATTATTTTTAATTATTAAAAATTCTTTGCTCACAAGATTTTATTTTTTGTTTGTTTATAGAGACTTCCCGAGTGAAATGACAGATATTTATGGTAGTTGTGGAGTAAATTCAACAAATAAAATCATTGAGATAAATAAATGATAATAAATTTAAAGGCAGATCTACAGTTAGGTACTTTCAAAATCCCTATCCCACGACTTTTAATCTCATATACGCATTATCCCATAACCTTGAATTATTATGTTCTAATTCTTGGTAAATCGTTCTTCTAAATCGTTTCGGCCTTTGTAATAAACAGACTTTTAAAGGCAAAATTTGTAAAGCAGCACTTACTACCCAGCTGCTTAAGACCTTGGCTTATGAATTACAGTTGAGGATTTTCTAAGAAATATTCGCTTTAATTTGAATAACATTGAAAGCTTCCTCAATTACCATGCTTTTAATACAGTTCACACACGGCAAGCTGAAGCATAAATCCGCTCTAATTTACACGGCTCCAAGCCTCGACCGATTCTAATATCTATTCACGATTTGACCCTATCGCAAGCTTTTGACTATTTAGCCATGCTCTGTGCCCAGTTCACATAACCAAACCAACATGATCCGGTAACCTTCGCAGCACAAATCGGACCCTTTTCTTCTCTTCACCGATGCGGATCATCGGGCATATTATTATAGCACATATTTGGGGCCAGCTCTATAAATTTCCGTTGGAAAGCAGCAAAATAGAAACTATATAATTAGTAATGGCTCTAGGTACGCCCGGAGGCGTACCATTTTCTAAGGCCACAGTCGTAGTACATGACAGCAACAGATGTAGAAGAAGAGAGAAATAAAAGCTTCAATGTATTCATCCCAAAAAGCAAAGTCAGCGCAAATGAAACTGAAAACTCTCACACGCCGAACGCGGCCTGAAGATGACAGATGACAATGATATATGGGATTCTTGAAATTGAAACCGAGTTGAGAAGTTGAAACCAATATGTTTGATTGGTTTGTACAGCGTATGCAAACGTTGAGTACGATGCGATGAGGAGAGGAGCCATCTCAGCTGGCTCATGGCTCATGGCTCTTGGCTCTTGGCTGATGGCTGATGGCTGATGGTCGCCGTTAAGAAAACAACTGCAATTGACTTTCGCGTCGTATGACACTTGAAGAGCGCTGGTAGCGATGATGGAACAACAGGCCCAAGGAACCGGGAAGCAAAGGCGCGCTGGAACATAAACTGGCTAGAACCACTTTCTACCATGAACGCAGCAATTCGTCTTTCGTTTGGGGCAAAGTAAAAGTCAATTTCTTCACCGGCTGTCGCATTATATATAAATAAACTTTTTTTTTTGGGGGCCGAGACGACGACGTTTTAATTTGGTTTTTGGTTTGGTCTTTTAATTTTTTTCTTCTTTTTTGCTTAATTACGGCCTGAAAATCGTAAACCGTTTTATGTTTTTTTAAGGGCAGCGGAACAAGAAAAAAATGTTTGTGCGCTTTTGGCAGCCGTTGGGCAAATTTGTTTCTGTCGTTTCTGTGTTCATTTCTTTGTTTGTTTGTATGTTGGTTTGTTTTGCTTGGGTCTGATGAAAAGGAAATGGGAAATTATTACGAAAATTATATTGCGCTGCCTGGGAAATTGGGCCATACTAAGCGAGAAGTAAACAAAAAACATAAACAAAAGACTTAAGACACAAACTCGAAGGCGACGTCAGCTGCGCCCGCATCCCATTCAAGCAACAAATTAATTATAACATGCAGCCGTAGTGGCAGCGGCAGCGGCAGCGGCAGCAGCTGCCCCGCTCGTCTTCTTCGGGCCAAGCGCATTAATTATGCCAAAGACAAACAAAACTGTCGGCGCGGGAGTCTGAGAGCCAAGCACAGTGGAACTAGGTTACACACGAAGCCATCGCCATTGCCATCATCATTGCCATCTCGAACTCCATCTCCAGCTGTTGCTGCGAAAGTCGAGCAAGAATTAAGGCTGCCCCATAAAACTCAATAATATATTTAATATGAAGGAATGTAGTATAAGGTATGATTCTATGTATGGTGTTAAAGATTTAGGTAGAGATATGTATGTGATGGAGCAGTTCCACGTCTACGTTTTTATGTGTACAGCATGGCAAAATTTAGATTCGATTCCCCATTAAACTCTTTTGATGGATGTAAGGTTAATTATATATATATAACATTATTTATTTGCACTGTTAATATGTACTTCTATGGAGGATCGATTTTTAATGTATCCGCTTCTCTTGCTTGTTTGCTATTCTAAGTAAAAATTTGGATTTGGACTAATTTTTTGAATGGCCAATAATTTCTATATTTCGTTAAACCAAAAAAACAAAAAAAAAAAACAAAAAGAGTTTGTATTTATACTTGAGCCATGCTCTCAATTTAATTTTAATAAATATGTTTTTTATTTTTTCAAGTTTGTTAAAACTTTATTTTTGCAAAATATAGAAATGAAAAAAAATTTTTTAGACAATTTTATTTTATTTTAAGATAAGTTATATAAAATAATATTTTATTCCCAAGGTATACTTAGGTATATAAATTTGCATATTTTTTCAATATTTTTTAATGAAGTTTGTTTTGAAGACTATGAAAGTCCCACAAAATACAAAACTTGAAAAAAGTGCGAATTGAGTTATCTTGATGAAGCGTAAAGTATTATATTGTATATTATATATATTTTTGCTATTGAAATATTGCAATTAAATGAATATTTGTCAGAAATGATTAATTATTATTGAAATAGAGAAATCAATACTAATAGAAATCAAATATGATTCAAATTAGAAATATCAATATGAATAGAAAATGTAAGCAATTATAGATATATCCTGCATAAAGTCTATTACATATGAATGATACATTCAATATATATGAATATCCATATTGCATTTCCCACACTATATACGATTTCTGCGCTCCTCGCACCACTGTTTGGGCTGGCAATAATTTAGTGCCACAGTGGCAGCCGAAACCACATTCTTAATGATTTGCATAAAATGGCGATGCGATAAAGTAATCAACCCAAATTCGGCGCAAAGATTCGCACGGTTAGCTGTCGCAGCGTCCGCTTGACGCGACGCCAGCGACGCCGCCAGCGCAGACGCCAGCGTCGCAGCGACAGCGCCAGATTCAAGCGGCGCCAGAAGAGCTCCAGCAAGAGCATCAGAGCTGAACGGAATTGCATAATCATGAGCCACTCATATTATTCATATTAAACACACTAAATTTTGACCCACTGACCTGCAGTGACAAAGCCCACGGCGAGGGCAATGAATGCGCCTTGGAGCATGCGTAGATTCAGGGCGCTAATCATCTCGTTGTCCTGGTTGTGCTGTGGCTGGTCCTTGACCTCATTGCTCATGACATTGGCATTCGCATTGGCATTGGCGTTCTCCACGGCAGCCAGCTCCTTCGACTGCTGTGCCTGATCCTTGGTCATTTGGCGAGCCTGCGCCTCGTACTCGCCCATTGTCATCTTTTCCAATATGCCGCCCTCAAAGAGATGCATGAGACTAAAATAAGGGTTAAGGGTGTTGAGATAGTTAGTGAATCTTTTATATATTCCAATTGCCACCCACACATCATTCAGGCTGTCCAAGAAGGGACAGCCAATCTGCACAGCCACCGCGGAGTAGCGTGTGTATAGCTTCTGGCTGAGCTGAAACTTCTTGGCTCCGTATTGCTGTATGTTAAAGTAGAGCGTCTCACGGCCACCGAGCACCGCCTTGTTCTCCCTGCCATCGGCAATCAGCTTGATGCCCGCCTCCACGGAGTCGATGAGGAAGCCCTGCGGATCGTACGGCTGCTGTTGACGCATCTGGGCATACAGTTGCCGAAAGAGCTCAGTGCCGTTCTCCAGCATCTCTAGCGAACTGCTCTCCTTCTCCACGTACAAGCGATAGCCATCCCGCAGCATGGCTGCCTGCAGACGCTGCAGAGTGTTGATGGGCGCCTCGTGAGCCGGGCGAGCAAACTGCGAGGTCAGCTGGGCCGAGTAGACATCAGCCAGCACATAGGTGGCCGCCACCCAGTAGACGATGGTCAGGAACTTGGTGCGGTAGTCGTGGCAGAGCTCGTTGCAAGCTGAGTGACAAACGAAAGGAAGGTCAAGTGGTTAACCCAGGACAGCTTAGACTACTCTATTGGAGTATAAATCACAGCTGTTCGCTCACATTGCTTCAGGAACAGACGCAGCGTAAACCAAATGCAGCGCTGAAATAGCTGCGCCGGCATCTCTGCCGACGTTGGCGGCCGGACGGGTCGCATATGCCTGACCTTCAGCACACAGGGCGTTATCTCATTGATGTAGGCCATGTGGATGCACAGTTCGCCCAGGCGTTCCACGTCCATGGCAATGCGGTGCCTGCGCCACTTGTAGGGCATGATGATGATGCCATAGAATATCGGGCCCGAGAACACAATGGTCAGAATGAGATATGGCCATATGTCGAGCTTGAAGGGGCGCATTATGGCCAGGGCCTCGTTGAGGCGACGCGGCGCGTGCGTGGCAAAGGCGCCCGAATCGGCGAGCGTAAAGAATGAGAACTCAATCGCCTTGCGACGCTCCCAGCTGAGGCCCACGTCACCCAGAAAGAAGTCCGCCAGCTGCAACGAGAGATCCCATGTCAATTTGTCAGCGACCACAGAGGACTCTGCAGTCACTAATATATTCAATTCGTACTCCACTCTGAAGCATGCCGATGCCGCCGGTGAAGCTGTCATTGGCCTCGCCATTGTCGTCCGTGCCACGCAGCGCGCCCTGCGTCCTGCCTGGCGCCTCAATGTACTCGAACGTAAAGTTCATATGCTGGCGCAATAGCACCAGCAATTGATGATCTCGACCTCCCGTCACATTCGCCTTCTTATAGCCCCCATTCTCGTACTCCTCCTCGATGCCGTTACCATTGCCGTTGCTGTTGCCAATGTTGTTTCCAATGTTGTTGCTGTCGTTGTTGTAGCTCACCCAAAACCATGGCGGCGACTGCAAGAGTCAAGTTTCTACTTGAGCAAGATGTGCTTTAAATATTATATCTATCATCGCGGCAGTTTCTTCAAACATAAACAAAGTGAAACGCCTTTAGTGTGAGAAAGAGTAAATCGTTTCTACTAGAAGACATCAAAAGTCTAGACAAAATATTTAAATTTCTTTGCGTATTTTCCAATTGCATGGAACTAAATGTCTGGTAATTGTATATTTAATCGATATACTTAAAAGGAAATAGAAAGTATTTCTATTTTAAACTGTCTAGAATTTATGGCGTAGATCAATAATATCTGTCGGCACGTTTTCGCTTTTTGCATATTTGAGGAAACTGGAGCAACGAATCTGCATCAAATTTTTGACCAAAAAACAATATGCTAATAATGCCACTCATTTACAAAGTGAAATAAGTGTATTGGGGTTTTAGTTTCTGTTCCTTAAAAAGTATTCGTTAGTAGATAAAATTGACGTCACATAAAATTGGAATAAATTTTTAAACGCAGGAATTTCAATCGATTTTGGACGCATGTGGAAAATATAAATTTTAAATTGATGAAAGACATTAAAATTATATAAAAAAAAAATAATAATAATAACATTAAAAAAAAAAAATAAAAAAATGTATATATATATATATATATTAATAATAATAATAATAATAATAATAATAGTGAAAAAGAGAAACTATTTTTGAAAACTTGTATTTATATTCAATGGTTTTTTTTTTATTCAATTCAGCTCTAGCCACCAAATTTTATATTATATATATATTTATAGTAGAATCCGGTACGAAAGCTGTAAACGGGCTCGTTAATTTTTTAATTGTCAGTCCCCCACAATGCAGAAATGCTTAATGACGAATGTCAACGGTAGCTTAGCAATCTAAACAAAATTTTCCATAATAGGAGTAAATATTTCTAATAGCCAGGCAGGCAAGAAGACAGCTTTCAGAACGAACATACACAACAAAACAGTCTATGTATGAAATTAATAAAAAGACATAAAAAGCATAAACAAATTTGCTTTAAATTGTCGAAAAATTTTGCATTTTCTAAACACAAAGTATGATTTTTTTATCCCCAAATATTTAAAGTTTTCTCATAAAACTTATAATGAAGTCGTTGTAAACTTATTCACAAGCCAGTACCTTAATACTTAATTCTTAAGTTAGTGTTTACTTTATATTTATCAGCTTATATTAGCTGAGATTAGAAAATCTGGTATAATTACTCACATGAAAGACGGGCACATGGAAGAGGCGACCTTGAAAATTGGCATAGACTGTGGCGGCGCTGGGCAGTAGTGGGGTCTTCTGAAGGCCGAGATTCTCGCCATCATACCAGTTGACCAGGCGCAGCTGACTCTTGGCCGTGGGCATGGCCTGATTGTAATAGATGCGAAATGCATTGGGACGCGGCCGAGTGATGACCACAGCTCGCATCGGCTGCTCAAAGTTGACGCGCGTCGCATTCGGCGGCTTGCTGGCGCCCCAGTAGAACATGTACAGACTGAGGCGGTGGGCCAGTCGACGTTCCTGTATGCGTGCCGATAGCTCATCCGGTTCGTGGAATATCAAATTGACGCACTCGATGGCGCCCAGCAGATTCGCCTCGATGTAGTCGAAGAACAGCTCGGTGTCATAGAAGATGACGGACTTGTAGTAGAGCTTATGCAATCGCTGTATGAAGTCATCCACTTGGATGGTGTCGTTGTTCGCACAGTCCACGCTCAGCCAACGGGAGCTGGGCATGGCCAGTATGGCCAGCTGTCGCGGCTGCAGGCCGTGGATGATCTGCGAGAGTGCTGCAAAAATTCCATTCAATTGAATTGCATTGAATTGCCTTGATCAATTAATTGGCCGCATCTCATTGCCATCCCACCTATTGCCACAACGGACTCGTTGCACGGCCTGTAGCTGAGCAGGGGCTGGGCCAGCGGCCAGTGGATTAGGCACAAGCCAAACAACAGACTCAACTGCATGACGAGACTACACAATTGGCCCAAAGTCCTGCGCCACGCCCTTATATAGTGCAAGTTATGATAGCCTTTGATTTTTGATGCGCAATTATAGCATCAATGCTTAAATATCACATGTCAAAACCCAGACATGCAGACAGGCAGACAGACAGACAAACAGTTGAAAAGAGCTGACTATCGATTTTCATAATCAAGAAGGCATTGCTGCCTTCAGCTGAACATCATTCGCCCAGTGGCCCACAGCGTTGAGTTGGCCAGTTCTCGTTTTTTTTATCTTTACCATTTTTTAATTGTCAGAAGTTTTCACTCTGCTGTTGACTCTCTCACTCTCTCTCTGTCTCTCTCTTTCACTATCACCGTCTCTCTCTGTGTAACGATAGATCTGTCAATCGAACCATGATCGTTGCCAGTTGCCGTTGTTGTTGTTGTCGTCAATCTTCTAATGCTATTGACATTAATTCCGTGTTGTGCGCATTTTTCTTTTTACCCATTTGCTATTGCTGCCGCTGCTGCTGCTGCTGTTGCTGCTGCTGCTGCTGCTCCCGCTTTCAGCTCACATGTCAACGCTCCACTTTAATGCGCCAGTCAATGATTTATCGCAATCAACAGTAGCTGCGGCAGCAGCAGCAGCAGAGATTACAAATGTGGTTGTTTACTTAACTAGTTTGTGGGCTGCCACAGACTGCAGCATGATTCTCTAATAAACTAAGGACACAGACGCTCAATATGTATACATATACTCAGAGGCGTAGGGAGATTGTCGATACTAAGGGGAATGATTCTTATTGAATTTCCCACTTAACCTGTGTATTTGGTGACAGCAGGTAGACCTGATAAAAATAATTTAATATTATAATAAATTAATAAAATTATGATTGCACTGATGGCACTTCATATTTTGTCTACCTAAGGAAAACTTTTTTAGAATTAGTAAAAAAATTAAAAAGAAATACATAAATTAAGAAAAAAATTAAAATAAATAAAGAATTTTAAAAATAGATTAAAAAATAAAAACAAGTGTCGTTTTTAATTGATTGTCGACCCTAAAAACATAAGTGAGTGTCACAATCCCATCGCTACGCCACTGCATACATATAAGGCAAATCCCTTGATGCCTACATTAAAGAAACAATATTTAGCATAGTTAGCTTGACTTATGGCGGATGATCTCAAATGTGACAAATTCTATAAAATCCTCCCAAACACTCTTACTCATTAGATATAAAATATTAATTTCAATCTGAAGTTATTATAATAGATTAATTAAGCCTGCGGCTGTCGCTCACGCCAATACCCGGACTCGTTTTGCAAATACAGCCAAATCATGTATATATATATATATATATATATATATATATATATATATATATTTCATATCTCACCCGAATGGCAATCAATGAAAGTCGCTTTAAGCCGTTTTGCTTGGCCAAATTGGTTGCTGACGCCAGTTTTGGCGATAGGCTCCCACAGCGACAACTCAGCGAAAGAGAAAAGCCAAAAAAGAAGAAGAAGAAAACCTAAAAAATATGATGACCCGATTATGATATGAGACCGTCTATAATTGCCATGAATATACAAATATATATATGTATGTCTATGTATACAATATATATTCGTTATTTATGCCCTGAGGGCAGAGCGAATAGAATGTGGAGAGGGCGGCGTAAAGAAATGGACTGAAACGGAAACTAAGGCCTTGTCTGACCTTTGATCAGAGCTAACACACACACACACACATACATACAAGCACACCGAGAGCTAGACAGATATAGGTATTATAGAAATCTGCAATGTTCACGTCTGTGGCTATTTATAAAGCCGGCTAACAAAAACGAAAAACTAAATACAAAAAAAAAAAAAAAAAAAAAAAATACGGAGCGAAAAAAGGACGTAAAACAAATAAACCCCGCGCTCTGCGTTCGACAACTTGTTAAACTTCAAACTGTCTGCAAACGCGACATTGTCTGATAAACGACAACAGCAACAGCAACAGCCACTGCAACAACAGCAACAACAACAACAAGGAGCAGAGAAAGAAGAAGAGCAACGTCCATGCTGAGTGGGCAACTGTCTGGGCGATTGCATCTGCTCGACGCGGTCTCTGTGACTGTGACTCTCAGTTGCAGTCTGAGTCTCCGTCTCAGTCGCAGTCCAAGTCTGAGCTGGACTCTGGGCAAGAGCTGAGCCAGGATGCAGCCGCACGCCAACACTTTTTGTTTCAACGCGCACGATAGTGAAATGTGGCCCGGTTCGGTCGATGGACTGGCCCTACGATCGATGTTGATGCTGTCCGCTGCCCGCTGCCCGCTGCCTGCTGCCTGCTGCCCATGGCCCGCTGCAACAGGCGACAGGCTAAGTGGATTGGTAGAGGCTGCCATGGCAGATGGGGGCCGGCACGTTTAAATGCACTTTATTTGTTTTGCCAGCGAGCAGCAGCTACGTGCGCGCTGAGCCATGAGCCCAAAGCCCTTATCCCCCATCCCCAAACCCGATCCCCGATCCTTGATCCTCGATCCCTGAGCCGTGAGCCGTCAGCCGCCCTCTCATCACCATAACGAGCTGTCAATTGGCGCAGCTCGTATGTAAATCACTTACTAAAGCCGCCAGGGCGAGTCAGGACCGAACAAGAAAAATACTAAAACTCATTTTAATGGGAAAGCACTGAAAACCGTTAGCGTAGGAAAAGCTAAAGGTTAACAAAAAAAATCCTTCGATAATTATTACTTTCACAGAAATTACTAGAATTATTCTTCAGACTAGAATATAGAGAAAGAAGGAAATACATTTTCACTTTTCTGCATAATTATAATTTAGCTCTATTTAAATTATATTACTATATTTGTTATACTATTCTGTCATGCTGAGAGTGTCCGACTAGGATAGAGCCTAAAATTAATATTTTTTATATTTACATACATATCTCTTACACTTCAAATAACATACATACACTTACACAGGCACTAGTATATATATACACACACACACACACATGACTTAAAGCACTGAATTAACGCAGCAGCGACTGCGCTTGGCCTACATTAGGGGCTTTACTATGAGAACTTAATTGTTGAATAAATTGTCTTGAGCGAATGAATTTTCAGAGCATGATAATGACATGCAGATGTGTGTATTTGCCAAAGCACAAGTTTCCAGTTATTATTATTGCTTATATTATTATTTTTATATGTAAATGATTGTATTAGTCACAGCAGAAGTCTTAAATATTTAAAAAAACTCTTTTTGCCAATTTTGTGGTAATGATGCATGGCATCCGATATTTGTTTTGGATAAAATCAGTATGTTAATTGCAGAAATTTATAATTTTTTTTCTAGTGTAGCTTTTTTACATTCAACCTACGCTTATAAAAATTAAACTATCGATTTTTATCGATATTAGGAAAAGTGTATGAGATATCGAAAAAAAGAAAAATTCTCAATGTGTATGGTATACAAAATTCCAAATCGGATTTGGCAAATAAATTCTGTGGCGTACGAGATTGTAGGGTTCGTATCGGCGCACAGACGAACGGATGTAAATATGGAAATGTCTGGATAGCTACAGCTCATCATCCTGAAGAATATATACTTTATGGGATCTTTTACGCTTTCTTCTGTCCGTTGCATACGTTTTTAGAAAACGACGACTTTCCACTTTCAATGGGTTTATATACCATATAGGTATATTTTAGTATAGACTCGCATAAAAATGTAGTGCTCTGTTCCTACTATTTTCATAAACATAATAGTATCTATTAGCCAATTGGGCTTTAGGCTAATAAATTGCATTTGCACTGCACTTTAAAAAACATTTAATACCAAACAAATAATTCAATATTGAAATATATAAACTGGAGCTCAGTCGAAATACATCGAGTAAAAAATTCTTTTTTTCGTTTTTGTTTCAGTATAAACCAAATATGAAGTCCCACAGACAGCAGTTCGAGTCGGCGTCATCGCCCAGGCTGTCGAGTTTCTTCTTTAACTTCTTCAGTTGCTCCTCATCGCTAAAAATGGCTTTGAAGACGCGCTTCGTGAATGCATCGGAGACGTCCAGTCTCTTCAGTAGTTTGAGCACCCGTTTCTCAAAGGCGCTATACGCTGCGGTACGTTGTTTATCCTTATCGCTGATATCGACTAAGACATCTGCCCGATCGTAGCCGGATGCCTCCAAGTTGTCTGGCTGCTGTTGCTGTTGCTTTTCACGAATCGCATCGTAGGCGAGATACTCGTTGTAAATCCTAATCTTTTCGTCTAGCTGAGAAATGGGCAACGCCAATGCGATTTCCAGGCGTTCATATTGCTGCTCCTTACTTTCAGTTTGATTTCTCAACTGCTGCAACGCGATGCTGATCCTGTTCGTAATTATGCTGTCCAGCTGCAGCAGCTGCTGCATATGACTGATTGCCACTTCTGGGATGCACTGCATCAGCATTGGCATCAGCAACAACACCAGCGATAGCTCCACTGCTTTGATCATTCTTGACATGACGGCGAACTTCTAGCTTCCAACTGTTGGCAGACGATGAGCCACAGCTGCCTTATAAAGCGCTCACAGTTCTCTGATAAGCTGTCCCTGCTAAGCCTAAGTTATGAGCCGACATTTATTGACTTTTCAAGGCATCATGCAATAGGTGAAGGTTCGCACTGGGTTGTTGTTATTGTTGATCGCAATTTTTTATTGCTTAGTTTAGTTTTTTTTTGTTCTACTTATTTGCTTCAAAGAAATGTTTAACGAATGTAAAATGACTTCTATTGTCTACAATAGTCTTGTACCCTTGCTCTTCTATGTGATTCTCACAAAAGGATGTAGTAACTAGGAAAAAATAATATAAAATAAATTTTGTAATATTAAATAACCAACTCATTTCAGAATCACCCTTCTATGCGATGTTCCTGGCTAAAAAGGAATTCATTCCCACGATGATTTTTAGATAGTATTTAGTTAAATGCACATTATGAAATATATTTAATGATTTTTGGTTTAATAATAACAAAATATTTGTATAATTTGCATCAACGGGCATCGATAGTGAATTCTGGACATGTCTATAAACTTAGACAATTGTTGTTAAAATAAAAGTAATTATAGAAAATAATATTTTGTATATACCTACCTATTATTCCTACGGCCAGTCGATACTGTAATCATTGAATAATTTTGAATATCCCTTCTCGATATTCTCTCTATCCACTTCATATATTGTATAATTATCATAGGACGGTGTCGTGTAGTCATCAGTGCTTTGAGTGGCTTCCAAATAGCCCAGGCTCGCTGGCGTTGTCTATAGGAAATTTCAAATTCAATTAATATTGTCAATAATAAACTCAATTAATTTACTTACGATCGGACTGTACTTGTCCTGGAAGTGTACAATTAATTTGTATCTCATTCTATTGATCGCTGATCCCATTTTTTTCATAGATAACTTTATGATTATCTCAATAAAGTTTAAAGCTCTCTTCTTGGCCGCTTGTAGGGCGGCGGTTTTTTTCGCAGCTTCGGCTAGATAATTGATAACATGATTCATTCGTAATATTGTTTTCGGTACACGTAGATAGCCGTCAACAACGTATTCTTTAATTAACGGGCTCCAGTCAACTGAATCAACTTGGGAGTAGAAATGTTCCCGTAACTTTTCAAACACGGGTATCTTTTCAATTTTAGCCTGGACCATCAAAGTAGGAGCTGAAAAAAAAAAGAAATTGTGGAATTTCGATTAGCCATACAGAGTTTACGTATAAAACTAACCCAGGCCACATATAATTAAGAGACTTGTAAGCACTCTCATTATTCACGAGCTAAGACAAAATGCAACTAATTTGAAAAACGAAGTGTTTTTACGTATTACAAATAACCATAGCAAAATGTTTTTATTTTTTAATGAACCGTGCTGTGAGACTTGACTATTTTCCATTGGCTCTACTTTGGTCTGTTTGGATTGTATAGCAAATATATTTATTTAAGAAAGCCTTGACTAAAGAATATATTGAAATGAAATACTTAAATAAACTAATAGTATTTATACACAAAAATGTTATAATAGTTACATAAATATTAATTACCACATTTATTTATGTAGTTTCTTAATCATAGAAATTCTTTATGCAGAAAAAATGTATATGTTTTTTTTTAAATTTTCCTGGCTTCAAAATTAGGCAGATCTTTCGCCTGCATACGAGTAGTCTCCTTCCCTTTCTGCATAGTCCAGGCCCAAAGTCTATGTGTGAGAAATAGATATTGAAAAATGTTTATTAACTTAATTTGGTTTTTTCTTACGGCCTTCCTAGACTTTTGCTGTCTCCTCAGCATTTCGCGATAGAGGCCCATAACATGGGTATTCACAAGGATAACAAATTTCCTCAGTTCGCCTGTTGTATATAACTTAAATTTGTCGCCGATCTTCTGCCACAGAGCGCGCCTCCATTCATCATAATCAGTATATTCGCCCAGCTCGTTGGCCACATTCATCAGCTTTGTCAATGGCTTGTCCGCAACAACGAGTCCCACATCAACCCAGGCCTTAACGTGCGCATGCCAGGGCACAGAATCGACCATCTTGTAAATGCGCTGCTTAAACTGATGGACCAGCACATGATCGGCTTTCGATGCCGTTGTATTATATATTATATAAGATTCAGTGCCATCGGACTTGGCTATATATATATGCGAACATAATGGCAAGATTTCATTAAATATACACTGATTATATCCAGAACGTACCATATCCAATAAGAACGATTAGTACACATATTGAAAGACTTTTAAGATTCATTCTTGACAAATGACTAAATGCAACTGCTTCATATCTTAAAATGTGCCATCTATACATTACTAAAGTCTCATTATATCTAATGAACCATAGCAACATTGATTTACTGCATTTGTGACGTAGATTACTTTAAATATACTCAGTATTGTATATTTTCCAAAGCATCAACTTATTTTCACGCTTCCTTTGAGTGCAATTTATATTTTATTTATTAGCTTTCAGATTGATGTACAGTTTTGTTAAATTTCGATAAATCGGGTAATCGATAATAATAATGATATAATAGCGATCATATAAAAGATAAATAATAATAAAGAAAAATAAAAGAAAAAATAAATCAATGCAAATATTTTCTTCACTCATTAAGTTTCAAAAAATGCAAAATGCATTTTTGTTTTTTTTTTTGTTTTTTCTATAATATAGAAAACTTATATTCAAAAGAAATGAAACCATTGCAACCAATCCAACCAATCGAAATAGTCCTCTTGCTGCGATCCTTCCCAACTATCGGAACGACACGGCCTGCTATATAAATTCAGTTTGTATGACTTTAGCAAGTTTTGCTCATTCAGTGCCGCCGTCAATTCCTTTCGTTGCTTGCGATAGACTTTTTTGCATTTCTTTGACAGTGGCTTATGGATCAAATAGCTCTCGACGACAGCGATGCGACTGAGCAAATTACTCTCCAACTTGAGTCGCAAGTAATTATAACTTACAAATTTGTCATAAGCTTGCAATTTCAACTGCAGAGATTCGGGACCCAGACTGGCTATATGCCGCAGATGCGCCGTTTCCTGATCGTATTCGGCATTCCCAACAATGTGGCCTATTTTAGATATCTCTAATATATGTGCAATTTTCAAATTTATCTTTTCGTTCTCAATATTATTCTGAAAAAAAAAAAAATCCTCCAAGTGTTGTCTTCTAAAATTTTTTTTTGGGAAATACAAAACATTATTACCTTATTTGTGGTTGTTTGCATGGACAATGTTGTCGCTTGAGGTGGTGCCTTGGATGTCTCAGCTGGTGGTTTAGATGTTTGAGGTGGTGATATGGGTGTTACTATAGGTGGTTTAGTTGTTTGAGGTAGAAGTGTGGCTGTTACTATAGATGTTTCGGATGCATATTCAGGTGGAAGAGTTCGTCCAGAAGGCGGCGCCGAGTCCACAATCACTGTATATCAAATATGCACTCTTGTTATTTTCTGTTTCTCGTGAAATATTCGCAGGATAATTGTAGTTCGATTTTCCGTAACTTACGAACTGTGCTGAACAGTAGACACAGCCCTACAAAATAGTATAGAGGACGTTCCATGCTTTTGCTGCGCTTTCAGTATTGCAATTGATTTACTCGAACTAGCTGGGTATTCCACTTTTATACTTAGAATAGTAAGGCGGAAGAGACGATTTTGTTTAAGATAATACTTAATGAAATTTGTCAAAGCTCTTAAAAGCGCTAACATAAATTTCAATTTTATTATTTTATTATCTCATGTTTTATATTTGTTTTAAGTTAATTTCTTTGAGAACACGACAGAAGATAAGTTAACACTTTGACTCTACTTAAAACAATGTTATATATAGGAGATTATTGAATTCTGCAGAAATTATAAATTAAAATTTAGCTAAAAAGTTATTACAATATTTTTTAAGCTGACTAATATTTTTAAGGAAATCTTTGGCCTATAAAATCAATTGAAATGATATGCCATTTAATAAAATTCAAAAGATTTCATTCGGGTATTTCGGTTCTCTGAATCTCACTTCTATTAATGTTTTTAATATAATATAACAACTTACTGTAAAGCAAACGGGTTTTCAGTTCGTAATTAATAATTGACTACAAAGTAACTTTCTCAGCCACTTTTCTTTATTGATGCAACTAAATTTAGTTAAAAGAAACACCAAGACATATATATTTAATTTTTATTTTACTTTTAATTAATTTTCTTTCTTTTTGGTTAATTTGATTTTTAACGGGTTAATAAATGACATCCACAAGTTGTGGAACGCAACAAACAGCTGCGCTCAGGTGACTACAGGTGAGAGAGAGAGTCTTTGAGTCTTTGAGGGAGAGAGCGCACGATCCACAACAATGACGATTACAATGACGACGAAGACGACGACGATGTTGCTGTTGCTGTTGTTGCTGTTGCTGTTGTCGGTCGTTCGTCTTGCTGGGCTCAGCAGCGTCCGGTCTTGCAGTTGGTTTTCCAAGTGGTCGAGTGCTTAGCTCAGTTCTTGAACGACTGCTGGCCGTGTTGGTAGCCAAACGCGGAACGCTGCTTGATTAACGTGAACACCGGAATCGTGTCTCGAGTGTCGAGTGTCTCGCGGAGTCACAAGCGGGAGTCGCAGTCGGTGGCGGCAGACGACGCGTTTTGCTTTCAATAGACTTGGTTACTTGGTTCGGCTTTATGGACATTTTGTGAAATGCAAAAACAACTTAACAAAATCAAGCACTAAAATCAACAAAGTGAAATTTTGAATGCGTTTTGAAAATTAATTGGCAAAAGAAATAAACGCATCAATGTTAGCAAATAAAGAAATCGCTTCCATCAAAGAAATAGAAAAACAAGTTTAAAGCCGCAACAACAACAACAACAAATCAACGAAACTAATAATGCAATTGAAATCCATACAAAGTGCATAACAAATTGTGTATGAGAAATTAAATCAACAAATTGAAACAAATTCAAATCAAATCAAATCAAATCAAACAAGGCGCAAAAGTCTTTGAGAGGTGCGTAAAAAAATTTATGAAGAAAATCATAATTTGTAAGCTCGAAATAGACAAGAAAAACAGCTGAAAAAATAGCAAGAAATTGTTAAATGTAAATAGGAAATAGAAAACTATCAGCTGGCAAAATATAAACAAATTGTGAATTGTTAACTAGCTCAAAGAGCTGAAGTTAAGTGAACTTTTGATTGTCTATTATTGTCGTCTTCGAATTGGTGTAATGCAAAGTTCTTATTTTTTTATTGTATATTTTTTTGTGGCTACAGAGCGCAAAAATACAAATATCGCTCTCGACCAGCTTATATACAGGCACATGAAAACTGTTAAAACCTGTTTTCAGCGGCGCATGCGCCAAGCAGAACTCAGGAACAGCAACAACAGCAACAACAACAACAGAAACTGGCAAGAGAAGAAAAGTTGGTAGGGCCCTGGCCGAGTCGAATCTGTGAGCAAACTGTGAAGCAGCCGGCCCAAAAGACGTACAACACCTGAAAAGGAGGCGCAACAGAAGCTGCCTGAACGCGCCGTAGCTCGATAAAGCCGATACAAATTTATCAAGTTCAATTGCAAAACGAAACGAAATCGAAGAGTTTGAAGCTTCGACTTCCTACTAGCCTAACGCTGGCCGAAGGGCAAGGAACCAAATATTGCACTTGTTCAAACAAACGCATCAGTCAAAAATGAAAAAAAAAAAAAATTGTTATTTGCTCATTTCTGTATTTGTTTCAAGGCAGCCTCGCCAAGTATCTATCTAGGCAGTATTTGCACAGCAGCCGCCACTGAAACACTTCAATTTTGGTGTTTTTATTCACTCAACTCTTTGTTATTTTCTTGTTGTTGTTGATGATGTTATCTGAACTGGCGCAACTTAAGATACAAGCGTGCGAGCAACAGCGCCAGATAAGCGCGAGATATGCGCAAAACAAAATCTCACGAAAAAAACTTTTAAGATGCAAAAATTGTTAGCTTTGATACAGCGCAGATTGGATGCCCTTAGGAAGTTGTAGAAAATGTTTTCTATCGAATTTATATAGTTAAAATACTTTATATACATAAAATATATCAGATATATGATATATTTTATGTATATAAAGTATTTTAACTATATAAATTCGATAGAAAACATTTTCTACAACTTCCTACAGATGTAGGTATAGGACAATAACAGAATAGATTTTAAGGCTTTTAAGTGTATTACACTAAAACATATTTATATTGATCTTAAATGGCAATACACATATATGCATTGCAAACTATAGTACACATCATACAGAATTAAGTTATTATAGTAGCAAAGACAAAATGAATAAAAAAATTGTAAATGTATATAAGATTTATCGTGGCTCAACAAAGAGTTGTTAAATAAGCGTTGTCATAGAAACTATACAAAAATAATTTCTTATATTTCTGCATTATTCTTCCCTTATTTAAATAGCAGTATATTCCTGAATATATACATTTAATAAAAAAAAATATTAATTATTTATATATCACTTCGAAAATATTTAACTTATGTATTCGAATACAGAATATACACATATTGGGCAGAAATATGACAATCTCGCTTCCGTTTTTGAGCTATTAATCAAGCACATAAATATGCCTAGTGGCATCTTCCTGGATGTGTCACGCGTTTCCCCAGAAAATTGAAATACCTTTTGGTAAAGAAAAGGGTATAAATCATGCACAGAAAGAATCAGTCGAACAGCCCAAAACAGCCGGCCAACACCTGCCGCTGCCAATGAAGGTACACCCCAAGGGAACACAGCCGAAACTTGCTCGCTCTCCCTCTCACTCTCTCTCCTTCTCTCTTTCTTTGTCTCTTACTGAAGGCGGCCTCTTTTGGGATTTATTCATTCATGCAATTCGTGTCCGTTTCATTTGCTTTGCTCCTCTTTGTCTTGCATGCAAATTTTTGCGTTTCAGTTTCTCTGCATATGAGTCTAAACATACATATGTATATACATATATACATATATATTTCTGCATAGGTATATAAGTGTAGGTAGAATTACGTTGAGTGTGCATGAGGGCTATACATAAACCAAAAAAATATAATACACATATACATATACAACATATATATCAGTTTATTTAAAACCATAAAAAACCGCACAAAGCTCTTCGAACAATTCCTGAAAATGTCTGTTGTCTGCCGTGTTGCCCAGGGTCATGCCAAGTCACAAGCCAGGCCGAGCAACTTTCATTAAAGCCAAACCCACAATAGCACGCCGAGCCATTATTATATATACACACACACATACAATAAATATTTGTATGTTTTTATGTTTATGTACTTAACCGTTTGTATATTTAACTATACCAGGTCGATCTCCATGTAGCCACAGCGTTCAATCAAATCCAATGCAAGAGCATGTCAAAGATCACAGCAACGGCCACGAACAATTTATGATTATAATTAAGTCCAGTTTTGTTTTGCCACAACCATTGGCCATTATGCAATTCACGATGTTTTTCCTTTCGTGATACCTGAGACGGTTATGAAATTGTTCTAGCCTGTGGCCGCTCCCCCTTTGGCTAACAATTTGCTAGATTCTTGCGGCATAGTCAGAGACTTTAAGGCAACAAAACTAGGCAGTTACTTAGAGTTCTTATGTGTATATGTGTTTTCAGTTAATTTCTTTCAAATTGTTAGCATAAACTGGCTCATTTGTCTGCCAAACATAACTTATTTAATATTGAGAATTGGGAATACAAGTGTATGTATATAAATCTTATTTTAATTAAACAAATTGCCTTTAGCAAGGCAAATGTTACATATCTTTCAATTCTGCTAATTTGGATATATATTTATCTAAATAAAATTAATATATTTTACTAAAATCCTATCCTATCCTCTTTTGTTGAATATGAGTTATATTATTATTATATATTCCTCTTATTTATTTTTTATCAAACAAAATTCTTTGAATCTTTATTGTTGAAGTTTGTTTAATATTGTAAGTTGAAATAAATTTGAGCGCATTCAAATGTATTTTCAGTTGCTTTTGAGAGAAAAAAAATAAAATAAAAATATATATACAGATGAATATGAATAATTTCTTCTCAATTTCTGTGCAAATAAAAGTTGAACATTTGATATATCCGGCATAAGTTTAAGCAACTGCTATATATCTATTTTCCTACTAGGTATTTGCACTGTTTTATATTTTAACTTAACTTATTGTACATTGTTATAATTACTAAATATAATAATTATATTATTTAAAAAAATTTAAAATATAAAAATTTTATAGAATTCCAAATTTCTATTTATTTCTTTGTTAAAGGAAAATTAAATTAGTCATGCTTATGTAAAATATCATTCTTATCCCTAAAAAATCATCTTGATAATAATTATTTGTGCCCGGTATCCATTACCACGCAAATTATTCTGCTCCCATTCACATTTACATATCTCAATATATTTATAAAATTCTTTCAAATTTATGCATAAAACTCTTCACTTTTGTTTTGTTGCCTTGACAACCCGTTGTTATGTAAGCGGCATGATTTGATGGCTGTCATAGAAACAAAACAAAAACTAAAACAAAACCTATTTGCCGTCTTGTATTTTTGCTTTCTTTATCCATTATGCTAATTGAAAGGAACGTTTT